ACTGGCCATAACTGCTTTTAAAACACTATTCAGAGGAACTGAGCATATAAAAGGACAACTCTCCTGCAGAGGTAGGAGACTGTGGCCATTGAGTGACTAAGGGAGCAAAAGGCCGTGAGTGTGTTGGCCACTAATGTGTCAAGCTCAGGAACCTTGCAGTGTTTAGTCTCCTGTGGAGTTGGCCTCCGATTTCCTGAGGCCTTTTAATCACTTGGATTTTAACTCTAATAAAAACGTCTGTACCAACTTCCACCGTTGGAGAGTTAGAAGTTGGATTTGATCCACTCTGAGTTAAGAGCCCTGGTTTAGGGGAAGATCCTTGGCTGCCATTTCGTAAACAGACTTTTGCTGAGACTCTCGGACGCGCGACGTCTCAGGCCCAGATGCCCTGGCAATGCTAAGGACACGGCGGTTCTTTTGTTAATCTACGCTAGTGGCTAAACCTGTCTCATTCAGGACAGAAGAACACATTAAGTGGGAGGCACGGCTGCTGCCCCTCATACTCACAGCACCATGAAAATCTTCTCAAGCAAGGCATGAGCCTCTTCTTCTCATGTATGTCCTCATCGTCCTTCCATGACGTCCATTTATTTCAGTATTTCCATAGCAACTGTAGCTATGAAATTACCCCCAAAGGTAGAGGATTTCTAAATTGTATCAGATTATGCTAAGGCAAAAAGCAAACGATAATAATGTTTTTAACGGATTAAGCCCTTCTGTTAGTAAACAATTTCGTAATGTATAAAATAACACAATTGTTCATTCCTTGTCTTTGAAGACAGGGAAGAAGTTAATATCTCCTTTTCATAAATGAGGATACCAGTACTCGGAAATTAAATGGCTTCCCCAAGGTCACACCAGGAGAGCAAGGTCTAGAAGCAATATATTCTATTTACATCACCTTACTTCTCAAGGAAGCTTAGTGCTTGTACTTTTAATCTGTTCATTTACACAAATCCATAAAAATAATCAAAACGAAGCTTTTAAGAGATCACCAAAGTTGAAAAGCATCTTATTTGTTTTGTTAATAACTATACAAACTTAAATTAAAATAATTATTACAGGGGTGCCTGGGTGGTTTGGTCACCTGGGTGTCCGACTCTCGACTTCAGCTTGGGTCATAGTGTCAGGATCGTGGGATGGAGCCCTGCATCAGGATCCGTGCTCAGCGCGGAGTCGGCTTGTCCCTCCCCCTCTGTTCCTCTCCCCACTTGAGCATGCTCTCTCTCTCTCTCTCAAATAAATTAAGTAAGTAAAATCTTTAAAAAAATAAAATAACTGTTACATAAGGCACTTATTAAATTGGTTCAAAGTAAATATAAATAAACTTCTTCAATAGTGGATAGGTTAGAGTTTAACATACGGTTTCACATTGCTGATGGTTCTGTGAATTTGAAAAATCTTTCTAAAGAAATCGAGCAAAAGTTCTCCAAATTGCTGCAAAGTGAACTTGGTAATATAAATCAAAGAATTTATGCTAAGGAAAAAAATTCAAAGTAAAAGAATATAAAACTTTTACTCAGCTATTTATAGGCATGTTATTTACAATACTGAAAGAATGGAAAACACCCAATACCTTTCTAGTGGGAAAGAGCTTTACAATGTAGTATGCAAACATAATGCAAAACTAAACAGAAAAAAACTAAAAAATAGCGGTTATTAACAGTGGAAAGCTATATACATATTTATATTAAGTCAACCAATAGAAAACACAAAAGAAAGCATATATGAAATGATTAAAGAGAATTATAGTGCCTTATAGAACCAAACTGGTTTAATTACAGTTATGTGTGTGCAAGGATTAAGGATTCAAGAGACAACAGGAAAATCCGAATAATCACTGAAGCAAAGATGAAGACGTAATTGGTATATTTTTCCCCCCAAATTATGTAAATGGTCAATTTAAATATGATCTAAGTTGATCACTAATTAATTTAGACAAGAAGAAATTAAATTTATATTAGGTGAGTCTCCTTCCTAAACTCAGAGCATTGGACATGGGTGGTCTTTACACAGAAATAATGAACTAAACCACGATTGTGAATATTCTGATTCTATTACCAAAAAAAAAAAAAAAAGCTCACTGACTGAGGTGCAGGGCATGGGTTTTCACCACACTTTGTTTACACAGGATGTCTCTTGGACATCAGTTTCCACCAATGGAACCTGAGGCAGTTTGACTGGATGGCATCACAGGTATTTCTGTTCGAAGGGCTTTGGTTCCAAGAGACAGACATACAGCCCTAGGATCGTCCTTACCACACGCTCTGTCTTCAAAACCAACTTGTTTCATTTTAGTCTCCCAGCTTCCCCAATCCCACCCCCAGAGAAAACTCTTTACATTTCTAGTGTGGCAACTTGTTGGACTTGACGAAAAGTCCCAAAGAAATGAAAATGCTAACACATCCATCTGAGAGCTTGAGGGCTGTGCTGAACTCTAAAATCAATACTGAACAAGGGTCTCTGAATACAGCTTAACTGGATTCTGATAAGAATTAAATTACACTTTAGAGTCACCATGGATAGATCTCATAAAGAAAAATCTTGATTAAAGGTTCTTCTGAGGGAGAGACATCAATAAGGACGGTAGGAATTTCCATTGTTTGAATTCACCCAGCTCTTCCGAGGATGTGGTTAAATATTTCCCAGATACTCTTCCTTGTCATAAGCACAGTCTTAAGCAACAGGGCAACCAAAGCTGAAGGAACTACAACTCAAGAATCACTGAGCTCCTATACCTGGCCCGGAGATCGAAACCTGAGCCCACACACTGTAGAAACCTGTGAGTAGGCCAGATGGCACTTTTTTTCAGTCTTATTACACACCCAGGAGGGCAAGAAAAGCATTTAAAAATGGGACAGGGGTATGCCTGAGAGGTTAAAACAATTCCCTAAAGCCCAAGGAGCCTCACGGCACATGTAAGGTCCTCATGTTCAGAAATACTAAATACGCCAGAAATCTTACCAACATTCATCTCGGAATAACATGCATTCCATTACCATTCCTTGGGCAGGCCAAATGTGCTTTACAGCAATGCCTCATTTCATCTTCACAAGCCTTTGGAGAAAATCCTGCAATCACTCCCATTATATATATGGGGGGACTGAGGCTTGGAAAGAGCTTTCTCAAGGAGACAAAGCCTTATAAGTGACGAAATCAAATTCAAACCATGTTCCTCACACCATGTTACACTGTTTCCCAATATTGCTCATGTGATCCTTAGCCCCAAGGGATATAAGAAAAAATGAAGGAGACTGCCCCCGGAGCACCATTAAAGTAGGAAAAAAAAATCAACAGTGCAGTCCAAAAGAAGGATGAAAAATAGACACAGAGCTACACAAAACACAGCAATGTGTAATCACTTCGTATAAGGACAAAGGGCCACAGGTGCTTCCAGAGGCTCTGTGGACATCGTCGTCACAGAGCGCACTGCAATAAGTAATTTCACGTGCTCGCCCTAAGCCATTGTCCATGCGGTCTGTTTACAAAGGCAGGGGATTTTGTAATGTTTTTCTTTTCAGTAAAGATTTCAAAGGGCAATATCTGAAATATTCTTATTTCCTAAAGAGGTAAGCTTCTGTTCAGTAAACTTTCCCTCATATATGTAACTGCCCCCTTCCAGATCAATAGGACATTATAGTGTTTCTGTTTATGTTCTAGACAAACTAAAAACGTGTGCTGTCAGCAGAGACTATGGGACCAGGGGTGTGAAGGACTGAATATAGCCCTGGTTATGACATCCATGATGGGATGGAGAGGCCATTTTCTTCCTCTCCTTGTTTCTGTATTCTCACTTCTAAAAAGAGGAGTTGGTTTCCAGCTCCAGCATTGTGTGGCACTAGTACGATGCGGTATGTATTTAAGTTAAGTTTCCTTTGGGGAGGAAAACAAATAAAATTGAACCTAAGAGATGCAAAACAATATTGAATCCTGCAATACCTTAATCTTGAAGAACTTTCAGATCTGTGCTGCGGACTCCAGGGCTGCAATGAGTTAGAGCGGGCAGGTCAGAGGAAGATACTGACAAGGCCAGAAACTTCTGCAGTGAACTTGAACCCTGGGGTTCTGCAAAGCTATGTATAACTCCTGAGACCTTGCACCCAAAACTTCCTTTATGTTAAAAGGCCTGGGCACTGAGGCCAAACCATGCCTCCTTTGTGGGTTTGCAGAAATGCACCAATTTTTCCACTAACAAGTGTTAAACAGATTAAAATCATGCAGAAAGACAGCAAAGAAATGTTTTTTTAAGTTCAAAAACAGTTTATCAAATTGCTCTATCAGAAGATAGCTTAATGTGTAGATTTAAGTAGCCTGGTAAGAAATGAAGATAGCATACTTTTAGCCATCCGGCTATGTTATTAAAATATAGTTGTTGTATTCTTAAAAAACAACAACAACAACAAAAAAACCCCTCAATTATTAGCTCAGTCAGCATTACTATTCATTTTCCTTTAAGGGAAATTCATTTCCCTGTATCATAAAGGGTCTATCTGTTTGCAGCATTGAAAACCTGCTGGGTATGGTAGGTAGCAATCTTTTGGGGAGATAAGAGGCCATTCAAAGGGCCCAGGAATTTGAAAGAGCACTGGGGAGTCCAGAGGCCCTGCAGGGTTTCTTTACAAATACTGGCAAATTCAAATGCAGGGTGAGACCTAATAATAAGAGGTACAACTATGCCACTTGGGAAACCTGCTGTGCAGGGGGGTGTGTGTGAGCTTGTATGTACATGCTTGAAAGGCCCGAAGGGATGATCTTCTCTGCAGACCACTAATTGATAATGAGCAGATCCTCCTAACATGCCTTTCTGACCTCATACGTACAGGGGACAATTGGAAAAAATTAAGATATGTCAATCTACACACACACACACACACACATTGGAATCTGGGGAGAAATAGAGATCGCTGGCTACATTCTATTTGGAGTGACTGGCATTCTGCCAAAGAAGACATCTTTACAAAGCAGGGCGGGGGGAGTGGCAGAGCAAAATGTGAACTTACAATGTAGCAGGGCTCACAGTAAGCTTTCTTCTCTACTGCATAGAAGGGCTGTCCCCGGAGCTTGTTGTTGCAGATGATGCAGGTAAAACAGTCCACGTGGAAGACCTGATCCATGGCAGTGCATCCTGTCCCTTCCCCAACGACATTCTCCCCACAGCGAGCACAGCGGCCTGAAAGGCAAAAGGGATTGACTCCTAAGAACACACCAAGGAACACTTTCAGTCCTCCTAGGACGGAAGCCAAGGTGGAGGAGACAGCCGACTCATAATGGCAACAGCAGCAACAAGACTGACACCACGCCCACCACCGCCGTCCCAGGAGAAAGATCACCGGTATAGCCACCCCTAGGCCGGGTACGGCCGCCATGATGGGGATTTTCTATGAGGCATTTGAGGAGTTGACCCTCACAGCTCAAGGACCTACAGAAAGGGACAGAGTAGAACTCAGGTCTCCTGATGTCAAGGCCAGTACTGTGCCTCTGATCTCACACCAAGTGTAAGAGGAACATGACTCAGCAAGGGAGCAGTGGAAGGCACGTCTAGGAAAGTCTTTCTGCTTGGAGAGTCTACGTGTCCAGTTGGACTGTGAAGGAATTGGGTAAAAAATCAAACTTTAACTCCTCTCAGAAAAGTCCAGGTTGTAAAATCTCTGCATCCAGCCCTCAGTGATAGACAGATCAAAAGGGAGTCCCTTTTATTTCCCGACAGTTCCGACTGCTAGAAAGTTATCTCTCATATTGAGCCAGACTGCTTCCTCAAGCTAACTGCTACCCAGTACTTCTAGTTCTGTCTTCTAGGGCCTCGTGAAACACGTGTCATCTCTTACACCTGACATCCTTTAAGTTATTACAATTTACTTATATTGCCTTCAAGTCTGGTACTAGTTGGAACATCCCTAAAACCTGCAACAGTTCCACTGACTTTAGGGTTTCGAGTCCCGATGGTCCTGGTTGTCACCGTCCAGCCCAGTGTTCTGTAAACTTTCAGCATTCTTAAACTGATTTATGGGGCATCTGGACCACATATGGACATCAGATTTGGGTTTCAAAAAATTCATTGTTTTAAATAGGAACAATAAAACAACTGAAGACACAAATATTTATGTCAGCGTGAGGCACTGCGCTGGCTGCAGTCTGTATCTCTATCTGGTTCTGTCATGGGAATCTGGAGCCAGAGGTCAGATCCACATCCAGTTTTCCTTCTTTTCTTTATTTCCATAAGTAGAAAGTCTTAACAAATAATTACAGGTCACTGGAAATGTCAACAAGAATCTGGGGGCTTTAACACATAAGTTGTAGCAAACCTAGTGCTTCCTCTTATGCCAGGCATTTTCAAGGTGCTTTTAGACATGTTAACTCATTTCATACTTACAGCCACCTATGTCACAGGTCTGCTATTGTCCCTATTTTACAGATGAGGAAAGTGAGTCACAAAAATGGTTAATGAAATTCAAAATTAAGTAGTCTAGCTTCAGTGTCCATGGTTTTAAGCACTATGTCATCTGGCCTCTGCTTCATTCTGTGCATTGGGATTGAACACGGAGCTGACATTATGGGGAGATTTCTCACTGAAGACTGCTTTCAGCACTCCATCACGTTGGATTGACAATCATTTCACACCTACAAACAGGAGGGCTAAATGTTTCAACTTGGGAGAAAAGAGGCAAACATATTTCTAATCCTCTCTGGTTGCATTGGCACTGGAAAATATTTCTATATGCTCTGTTGCAGGACTTGAATGTGTTTTTAAAATATAACCCAAACTACAGATCATTTTCCCCCTAAGGAATAAAAAATATCAAGTACTGGAAAAAGAGTTAAACTCTTGGAAACTGAGCTGTCTCCACGGTAGGTGATAGTCTAAATTTCTGATATCATATTCTTGATATTTGATAAAAACTTCTGTAATAAACTTTGTGGCTTGTTTTACAAACTTCTACCCAAGAGTTAACTTGTACCTGTTTTTTTTTTTTTTTTTGAAGATTTTATTTATTTATTTGACAGAGAGAGAGCACAAGCAGGGGGAGTGGCAGGCAGAGGCAGAGGGAGAAGCAGGCTGCCCACAGAGCAGGGGGGAGCCCGATGTGGGACTTGATCCCAGGACCCTGGAATCAGGACCCTGGAATCATGACCTTAGCCAAAAGCAGTCGCTTAACCAATTGAGCCACCCAGGCACCCAACTTGTACCTGTTTTTATCATGAGATGTATAACTTTAGAAAGTTGCCTTTAAAATTGTGGACTTTAACTGCCTTTAGTAACAAAATTAGGTTATTGCATATGGCACTTGTTTTGTGATTATTCAGGGGAAAAAAAACCCAACAGCTTAACTCGTTTACTAACAAGTTCACCGTGCTATGTTTGAAGTTGATGCTACACTTCTCAAAGTTTCATGTCACTATCTGTCATTTCATCACAGAAAACACCCTGCAATTATAGGCAAATGGATCACCAATTCATAAAGTCTTATTTTTTTAAAAAGTCATCATCATATTTAGTATTCAAACTTTTCTTTTACAACTGCTTGTGCAGACTTATCACATTTGTCTTAGAATTTACAGATTCACTTCCAATATTTATATTGGAATCCTCTTTCACCAAAATTTACATTTTTAATATTAATCCAAAGTGGTATTTATGGTATTATCTTTATTACCATTTTTCCTGCTGTCACGGAATCATATTGAAATCACTGATCTATTTTGGTGAACTAAAGAAATAATGCAATACAATAGTGATAATGAAAAATACAGGTTTAAGAGCAGCAGAAAAAATACTAATGACATGAAAATACTCTGAGCTGAATGGCACTGTTGGTGAACATTGGTCCAGCAACATCAATCAACAGAGGTTTGTGACATATGTGCAAATTTTAAGAACGTGATGGGCATTAAGGAGGGCACGTGATGTGATGAGCACTGGGTGTTATACTGAACTGATGAATCACTGAACATTATATGTACTATACCTCGGCTAATTGAATTTAAATAAAAAAAAGAATGTGATGATTATTAAGAGCATATTGAATTCCTGGGGCGCCTGGGTGGCTCAGTTGGTTAAGCATCTGACTCTTGGTTTCAGGTCAGGTCACGATCTCATGAGTCATGAGATCAAGACCTGTGTTGGTCTCTGTGCTGAGCGGGGAGTCCCCTCAAAGATTTTCTCCTCTGACCTTCCCCCTGCTTTCTCTCTAAGATAAATAAATAAATCTTTAAAAAAAAGAGCATACTGGATTCCTGTGAAAACTCTAATTTTACATTTCAAATCTGTTAAATTCAGGTCAACAGAATTATTTTTATTTATTACTCTTTCCCATTCTAGACCTTAAACTGGGCTCCTTGAGAGTCCACCAGGGACTACTAGTGATGTGTGGACCACACCTTGGGGGAAAAAAAAATTCTGGCTAAATGTTACAGTCTACTGGTCATGGTGGTCTATAAGACAGCTGGAGGTAGTGCTTCTGACCCAGACCATGCCTGGCCCGAAGCATAGTCTCTGGAAGCCAAGATAGTGAGTCTACATAGTTTATGGAGAGTTTGCTAGCTAACCCTGAGGATATGGGAGAGAATCGCAGTTACTGACTAGAGAGAAAGATGAGGGCAAACCCCTAAAGGTCAGGCTGAAAAGACATGTTTTGAAATTTTCATTCTGTTCAACAAACATTCCCCAGGTATCTACTCTTTGCCAGTACTATATTCTGCTTCTGTGTGATATACAGAAATGGATTAGACGATGTCAGTGCCTTTTACAATCATTATAAGACTATACATTCTACAATCCCATGGGGAAAGGTGCCAAGTGCCATAGGGGAAAGTGCTATGGAGGTGTGGGAGGGAAATCACGTGTGAGAGGGGCTCAGAAAGGTTTTGTGGAGAAAGAGGCATTTGAGCCCAACTCAAGGATGGAACTGGGACAGGTGGAGATGGGAAAGAGAAAAACATTCTGGTTTTTCCAAAGGGAATGAGTGGCTGGGCTTGACTAGATCCCAAACCTCTGTAGTAACTTGGTGCTGGCACAACAAGGACTTGTCTTCTCAGCTAGGAAAGCAGATGGGCAGTATTCATAAGGAACAATCTTCTCCTTTATAATTTGGAGAACATTCTTCCAGAGTGGGTCGGGCTAATATGCTGGACCCAGACATGACCAGCTCTGCTGCCTCCCGTTTTTTTCCTATTCTTGGGAGAAATTGGGGACACAGGCTCGAGGGCAGTCAGTCTGGCACCTTTAAAATCACAAGCACAGAAAAAGAGCGAAGAACAAAACATAAAAATAGCCCTACACATCAGCAGGACAGAAAAGGTGCCCGAATGTTCCCTTTTCACATTAACGAAATTTACAAACTATGCCTTTTAGGGAAGCAATCACAATGGAAAGAAAGTTACTCAAGCCCAGTACATCCTTGCCCCTAGAGGGGCTTATGCTACACATCATTAAAAGCAGACCACAATCTTAATGCCCATCTCTTGGACAAGTATCTCAGCACTTTTAAATGAGAAAAACCAGGGGAATGGTACCAGACTTGAAGGCATCAGAGCATGAAGGAAATAGAGTTGATTAGGGGCCGGTAGGAAGCTCAAGTTCAGACCCAGGGCTGGAATGAGGAGCTTGCTGGCAAAGCTCAGCACAGTGATTTAAAAAAATCCAATGACAGAGGATCAGACAGTCTGAGGAGAATTTTGATAGTGAATTAAGATGCCTGAATTAAAAAAAAAAGAACTCGTTTCTAAAGCTTGCTTATATATTACTGCTTGGTATGTACACTGCTCCGTATTTTCTCTGGAACCAGTTATGGTTCTTCTCACCCCTTTCCCCAGGGACCCTGTCCCAACTGTAGCAACCTCTTGAGTGAAGCCTCTCTGAAAGGCTTCTTTCCACCACATGCCTACTATCCAAATCGGGATCCATTATCTTTCATGGGCCATTGCAATGGCTTCCTGATTGCTCCAGTATCTGATTTACTTCCTCTTATAAATGGAAAAACTCCATGGAAGTCTTAGTCCTGAGCTACGTCTGGAAGGTTATGCAGAATTGGAACAAGTCATTTCTAGGAAGGGCATGGGTGGAGGGTGATATTACAGGCAAATAACAGGTAGAGCAAGGGAGGTAGAGTAGTAGGAAATGGGTTTTCATATTTATTGCTTCCCGTTTTCTCTTTTGGTAATGTGAATATACTT